TTTGTATACAAAAGCGGCGTTATCTACGACATCAATCGCGTTAACGTTAGCCGTGGAAACTGGTGGCATTTCAGAAAGCTGACATTGAAGCGGCGTAGTCTATTGTAATCGATATCTGACTCGCCGACGTCTTTGAGGTTCACCGATCTTTAGGTATAAAAGGCAGACGTCGAACAGCTAGCAGTCAGTTATTCGAGAAACTCTGCGAGAGTAAATTCGTGGGACAAATTGTACTCTGTTCTATTAAATATTCTTATAAGAATAAGACTCAATCCGAAGCATCGAAACTTTATCATCCTTCCACCTAATAAACTTCACCTACAATACCTACTGGGGATCATAGATAACTGTAACAAGAGGAAAGGAACTCAAAAATAATAATGATAATAATTGACTGGGATGCCTTTCAGCTGGTAAACCAACATACTAGTCGGCAGATATCAGCAAAACTTCTGACGTTATAAATTTCTTTATAACCAAAGGATGGGAGTTACTACAGCAGCTCCTCGGATCATTCGCCTGTCATAGCCACCCTCAGCACAACAGTTATCCAGCGTGAACTGCAATTACACTTAAGTAACCAAAATACCGACTGGGAAACCTTTCGTGAATACCTCAACGAAAACGTTAATCTAACGGTTCCCTTAAAAACGGTGGACAGCAAAAAGAAATCCACTATCCACATTACCAAAGAGACCTAAGTTGTGGCATGAAAGAGCATGCCTACGCCCACGCAGTTGAAGCCTATCAAGGCTGCAACTATCCAATGAAGGTTGAAGAGGAAGATCGCGGAAAAGCGCTGACAACGCAGAATGTGGCAATTAAGCAGACTTCCTGAGGATAAACATATGTTAAACAAAGTGGCAGCTAAATTAAGAGCATTTTTGCGGCAAATTAATAATGAAACCTTTATGGGTAGAATTCTTAAGCCCTTCTGGAAGTGGTGAACACTCGCTCTGGAAGGCTACTAAAAATCTCAGAACATTCACTGTAGCCAAAAACATCCATCCCCCCCCCCCCTGAAAAACAACAGGTGGGCTTGCAGCTAGGAAAAGACAATGAAGGCATTCTTCCGATATCTGAAGGAGGTTTTCACTTCGAATTCTACCAACTCCACCAACGAAAGTGAAGAAAAAGTTACAGGGCTTCTAACTAGCGATATGCAATTGTGCTCTCCATTCAAACCAGCAAGCCCAAAAGAAATTGGAGCAGCAATCAATAACCTGCCATCATAGAAGATACCGTGCTTTGATCTCATAACAGCCGAAATTCTAAAGCAACTCCCGAAGAAAGCGATCATTTTTCTAGCATCTCTGTTCAATGGATTTTTCGTACTGCTTACTTCCCAGAGATTCGGAGAGTTTCGGAAATCATAATGATTCATAAAAATGGCAAGCCAATAAATTTCGTTTTATCATATCGACCCATCAGTCTTCTTCCGATTCTGTCGAAGTTCTGTGAGTGGCTCCTTTTGGAAAGAATAAACTTAGAACTGGCAACGAATGATACAATTCCTCGACATCAATTTGGTTTTTGCAAACACCACTCAACAATTGAGCAGGTCGACAGAGTGGCCAATAAGATGAGACAATCCATTGAACGAGAGAAATACTGCTCCGCGGTATTGGATGTACAGCAAGCCTTCAACAAAGTGTGGCACGAGAGGTTGCTGTACAAAATAAAAAATAAGTTACCGCACAATTTCAACTCGCTCTTAAAATCTCATCTTACAGGGAGGATGTTCAGAGTAAAAGAAAACGAAACCTACTTTAAGTTACACTATATAAGGGCGGGAGTACCACAGGGATTGATCCTGGGCCATATTCATTACACCATCTTTACAACGGATTTACTACTAACAGGAAGAATAACTGCGGCAACATTTACCGATGATACAGCGGTGCTATTAAGCAATCGAGATCCAATAATAGCAACAAAAAATAAACAACTACCTTTGCTAAAAGTGTAGCAGTGGTTAATGGATTAGTAAATCAAAGTTAGGTCAAAAAAATGTAAAAACATAACGTTCACTTTAAACCGCGACATCTGTCTTTCAGTCGCTATCGAAATTTTCCCACAAGTGGGCTCAGTTAAATACCTAGGTTTGCACCTGGACAATCATTGGACTTGGAGAAAACACATTACCAAACGTAACGAATTAAATATTAAGACTCAATCACTGATGTATCAGCTTGGTAGGAAATTAAAACTTAGCCTCGAAAACAAGCTACTAATCTATACAGCCACTGCTAATCTATACAGCCATCTTAAAACTCGTCTAGATCTATAGTATTGAACTGTAGGGAATAGCTCATAACTCAAATATTGAAATATTGCAACGATATCAAAATGGCATCCTAAAACTAATAACCCAGGCTCCATTGTGTAACCGCAGGTGGTCAGGATGTGGCTCGCCTGATCGGTCCGAGAGGGTGGTCGATGCGTCGACGGGTCGTGAGCATTGCTGGGCGCTTTGACCGGAGTGCGTTCCAGCTGGGGATTCCCTGGTGCAGTCTGGTCGGTCCTGCTGACTAGCCTTCAAACTGGTCGGTCGGAGATTCTCCGGTTGGTCCGGAGTGATTAATTTGATCCGTGATCATGATTTGTTTACGGCAATCGACATGTCTCATGGTTGTGCTTACAAAATCTCTCCCCGTTGGAGAAAGAAAATGAAGGAACGACGTTTTCGCTTACAATAATTTTCTAGTTGACAATATTTTTGTTATACTTGTTTATCTTATAACTATTTGTATTATTTTTACTCGTTGGTTTTGATTCGGCAGATTTTTCCAAATTTACAGCGATGTATTTCTACATCTTGTCTTATGTCGCTATTTCGTTCAATAACAATTGGAATATTTTCCGAAGCCTTTTTGTAATCTTGTTAGTACTAAAATTATAACGATGATTATAATTATAATAGTTATTCCATTCGGCGCGGTTGAATAAATTAAATGTTGTCATTCTTTTGTCAAAAATATATTCTGGGTTATATTATGCGTTACATATTGCGACGCGCGCGAAACAATCACCTTTCCGGCTTTTTCCGTTTGGCTTTTTATGCCGTTGCGAAAATTAAGATTCCGAGGGCTTTGGACTGTTTTTTTCTTTTTTTTCGTCCGCATATACAATGTATAACTAAGAAAATATATTTCTTTAAAAATCGGGAAAGGAGAGACCGCGTAGTCACATTGTAAGAAATACATGTACATTCTCGTGTCATAGCGTGTGACAAGTATATGTATACATACATACATACATACATACATACATATATATGTATACATATATAAGCAGATCTTTTGTAGACTACTTACCAACACAAAAATACAAAAATATAACGAATACTTTATAAATAATATGTATGTTACGGATCTTAGAATGATCAATCGCTTGTTGTTGAATCATATGGGCAGATGAGTGAAAAATGGGAATTCAATTCTACGACGAACGCGCAGATAACAAGATTGGATTGGATGAATATATCTCGTTGCATTCGCAGCGACGTTGCACAATGTAATACGTTACGGCCTACCTCATTATTGCGTAACGTGCGTATATGCACGCACAAAGAAATCAATTGGTCGTTTATAGAACAATGTCGCATTTTATATTATGGACTAATCACATCCGAGCCTAAGATACAAACGGTCGTTTGATATCTCCGCACACGCGATTACGCAAATCCATCTGGACACTTGGCCTTAAACGCGAAAAATTAACGGTTGTCGCTGGGCAACGAAACGCTTGATGTGGAGGTATACATGGTGAGATACATGGAGAAGTGACAAAATGATAATGCGAAAATATGAATATATACTATATATATATATATATATATATATA